TGTCCTGCGTGATTCGCTGTCCCATGTCATGAAAGTCTTATTTCACACATTTTGTCCATTTTTGATTGATTTAGGTGTGTGTTTAAATCTTACATATTATACCAAGTCTAAATAACATTTTTTCAACTGAAATTTTTATTTAAACTGCTTTATGAGCATGGGGAAATAAAGTCTAGGTTCTTAATGCCTGTAGTTATCTCAAAGGATGCTATAGCAGTGTAAAAAAAAACAAAAACAAAAACAAGGTTTTTTTTTCTTTTTTTCTTTTCTAAAATGTGATCTCTTTTCTGGCCAGAGGAGTTTTAGAAGCACACCTCGACTGCCGCTTAGAGCAATAGCACTTTATGTAAGTATTGCATATTCTTGTTTTAAAGGGATTTTCATGTATACTCTCTCATTTGATTATTTGTATTCAAGGCCAGATAATTAAGGTCAAGGTTGTTACTAAGTGATGCTCAGGAGTGTCATGACTTGGTCATGACAGCTGCCACTCATGACACACTTTATGTGGGGTAAGTAGGGTACTTAGCACTGTATATACAATCTCATTTAATCTTCCCCACACACATATCAGGAAAGTGCCACAATCTTCCTTTGCCCAGATATAAACAAGCTAAAGCTTAGAAGACAAGCTACCTTGTCCAAATTTACACAGCTGTTAAGTGCTCCAGCCAGCTCTTGAACCCAGGCTGTCTGACTCCCAGACAATTCTTGTAACCCTAGTCTACCTCTCATGGAAGTGGGATGCTCCTCTGGTCACCTTCTTACTCTCTTTTTCCATAACCCCAATTGGTTCCACAATGGTAGATTATCTGATTTTAAAATGAACAAAATACTGTGCACTCTTGGAAATACTGATCCTGTGCTATTGCTCATAAAAGGCAAGGACTTTTGGTGATAATGCTTCTTGGGTGGTACTTATGTTGACATCAGGGATATCATTTAAAGATAGATGATTCTTTTGGTGGTAAATTCATCCATATTGGGTCCATTTTGCCACCAGTTATTTTTATGTATATTCATTTCTGAGTTCTTCCTATCTAAAATTTCAACCCCTACCCATCTCCAATGTTTACCGTTTCATATTCCTCTTCCCTTCCTTATTTTTTTCTCTTTTACACTTACCACTAATACATTAATATATTTCATTTCTTTTGTTTATTATTTGTCTCCACTAAAATTTAGTGCCATAAGGACATACAGTTTTGTCTGTTTTGTTTACAACTGTATCCCGTATAACTAATGACTAGGAACTCAATAAATATAGGTTGAATAAATTAACATGTATGTTTAGACAATATTCTCAGAATTTATGATATTTCAATGACTGTTACATAATGAAGTGGAGGGCAATATATGAGACTAAACTTTCAGAAGAATTAGGAGCTACCTGTACATATTTGCCCATCCATATTTGGATGTCATCTACCATAAGAGGCTAAAGCCTGTAGGAGGAAGATAAGATTACTAGATGACACAACCATTTCAGAACTGTGGAGAGAGATCACATTTACCTGTTAGCTTCTCCTAATACTATCAGCTGTTAGGACTGTCAGATTAGGAAGAGATACATCTTAATGGGAAGGTAGTACTATTCTAGTAGCATAGCCACTGGTCTCATAATGGTGGAGTTCAATTCTCAACGACTCTACTTACAAGGTTTGTAAGTATTAGAAGTCACTGTTTTTTTTTTTTTTTTTTTTTTTTTTTTTTTTTTTTTTTTTTTTTTATGCCAAAGATGTTTATCTTGACACTTCAAGGAATTCGTCAACCCTTTAAAACTGTATTCAGCCCTATTTTGTGTGAGGGAATGGATGTATCTTTCTTGGGAAATCTAGAGTTTTCATCAAATTTTCAATATCTCTCAGTACTTTTAATACTGTGGGCATCAAATATCAAGCTATACTGTTATAAGTAAATCCACACAAATATATTCCTTTGGGTTGGCTTGAAATACGTAAGGCCAGCCCAAATCCTAATATTTTGCAAGTGCTTAATATTTCTATGCTTTTTCCTTGCCCTACCTACATAGACTAGAGCTACAAAACAACACGAGCTTCACTATTATTATAATCACCTTTTCACAATGAAGGTTAAATGATTTGCCTATACTAACATTTCAGAGACCAGAAAACTCATACATACTTTTATAAAAGAAATGATCCACATTTTATTGTCAATAATACCTATGTATCTCTCAAAGAAATGATTCTGTGAAAGTAAAAGCATCATGCCTTATTCACTTTTGTAGCCTCAGTATCTGAAAAATGAACATACAACATGTTTAATATATGTCAGTTCCATAATGATTGACCTGGATATTAGCTTCAGGCCATCTGAGTTTAAGTACTCAACATATTATCATTTCATTAAGTCACACACCTTTTCATAAAATTAATCTAAAGAGAGAGTCTCATTCTTTTGCTTATATACTGTCTAGTATTTTCTCTTACCCAATATCTTCCTCAGCTAGAGTACTAATTCTTAAGTGTACATTTACATTCATGTCATAGAAAGAAAAGTAAAACATGAATGAAGAGTCTAATAGAAAGCAAAATATATGTTTTGTTTCTATTGAAAGGATATGGAAACTAAAGACAGTGATGTGTTTTAAAATATTCAAAAAACAGTCACTTATTACCAGAGTCTTCCCATATCCATGGGGGATATGTTCTAAGACCCCCAGTGGATTCCTGAAACCAAGGATGCCACTGAACCATATATGTATATATACTATGTTTTCCTTCTACACATACATGCCTATGATAAAGTTTAATTTAAAAATTAGGCATAGTAAGGGATTAACTCTAATCACTAATAATGATATAGAACAATTATAACAATATACTCTCATAAAAGTTACGTGAATGTGGTCTCTCCCTCTCTCTCTCTCTGGTAATATTGTGTCGTATTCATCCTTCTTCTTGGGATGATGTGAGATGGTAAATGCCTATGTGATGAGATGAAGTGACGTGAATGATATAGGCATTGTGACATATCATTAAGCTACTACTGACCTTCTGACAATATGTCAGAAGGAAGATCATCTGTTTCTTTACTAAGCAAAACCACAGATATGGGGGAGTTACTGTACTCTACTTCTTAGTAATCTCAACCAACCAATCACAACCAACTTCCTGTGTCATTTTCTAGGAATCTAATCATTCTTAAGGCCACCAGTTGCATTCATTCTGTCCTCCTAGTATCTGCTTTGCCTACCATATTCTCAAATCCCTCTTTTTGGAACTTTTATATTTCTGTTGTATTTCCTGATCATGTTCTCCTGGTTTCTCATAATACTCCACCAAGTTCCTCCCTAATGCATCTTTCAATTAGTTAGATGAAGAGTATCCATCCAGTAGGTGAACTATGTGATGAGAGTAAGGGGAGTTCCTTGGCAGAGAATCAAGTTTAATGGGTGAGGAGAAAAGATGTGAATAAGAATCTTAGGGGAAAAGGTGGGCAGTATGATGACAGATAATAGCAATATTGGTATGCTGATTTTTTTTCCTTATGTGATCCCAGCATAACATCTAAGGAACGTTGGTTAATGAATGAATAAATACTCTCATCACTACATCTCAGGGTAAGAACAAAACTTTTTTTCAGTTTTTACATACCCACGCTCCCTTTTTCCTTCCTTCCTTCCTTCCCTTCCTTTCCTTCTTTCTTTTCTTCCTTCCTTCCTTCCTTTTCTTTCTTTTGTTCTTCTCTTATTAACTACCATCTCTTACTGACTCCACTTTGAGAACTACACCAGGTAAGAAGCTTGGGTCCCCAAATGTCCCTAAAGGTTGTGTATCATGTGCCTGATGTCAAGAATATATTCCTGAGTATGGTATGAAATCTTGTAGAGCAAATTCTAATCTGACTATAAGTATATAAGCAAATATGGAAACAAGAACAATCCATTAACTAATGGTATTCTCAGACATTTGGCTGTAAGAAAGGTTTATAGGCAAAAAATATATAACAAGGCCATTTCTGTGCTCCTAAAATGATCCAGATTATCTGAGATTCACTAAATTCCATATTATATAAATTCAAAGTAATTCTTATTCTCAGATATGGACCTTTCTTACAGAACATGAAATATAGTTCTATTTTGTTAGTGAAAAACAAACTTTATTTTCTAAATGAGAAATTAAGTCATAACTCTTGAACTTCATAGATAAATATATCTAAATACTAATAATTTCATTACACAATTTTGGCAAAATCAATACAATGTTTTGAATATTTCATGTTAAATTCTATTAAAGGAAAAAAAACAGTGTTACTAACTTATTTCATTTAAAAATAATAATATACGTGGTTTGAAGAAATCACAGTATCCCAGCATTTATCATTTGTTAGCATGAAGGCACATTTATGTGCCCGTTTTAAATTTAATATAATGAAATTTAAAATTATTCATACACTTCCCAATATCATACGTACAAAGGATTAGTTCTTAATTTTCATCTGTTTGGAAGTCATTTAATAAGTAATTTTGCATTATTCAAACTGATTCATCAAATAATAATGTCTATAAATGTGAAATCCAACATGCTACTTGAAGAATTATCCAGAGTTCTTTTGACCACAGGTTATTCTTAAAGGTATTTGAGAATAGCCACAGGAACCATTTGTAAATTCAGGTAACATAAATACTTCCAAGTTTCAGTTCAAAAACACAATCTGATTTTATAGGGTAATGCTTTATTTAAAAAATAAAGCCCTTCTTTATTCAAAACCTGAAAGCCCTGAAGTCTTTATACTATGAATAAAAGAATTATTTTCGAAAACTTTAAAAATAGCTGCAATTTCCCATTTAACAATAAATATTGCATGCAAAAAGACTAGCAGAGCTTCAAAATAAGTATTAAAATGACCAACTGATCAGTAATTTGCATCACTTCACAAAAAAAAGATTTGACAGTAAATTACTGGGTCTATATGTGCATGCTACAGCATAGTGTGTTCAGAGTAAAAAAAAAAATAAAGTAAAATGCAATTACCCTAAAAGACATTTCAAGATTCTCTCCACCCCAGATATCCATTCCTGCATCGTAAGTTCCTATCTCTTCAAAGTAGTTTCTGTCAATAGAAAATAGGCCACCAGCCATAGTAGGGGTCCTAGTTGAAAAAAAACAAAAAGAAAAGAATATCTTTTGAAAACAATGTGTGGAGTTTCATGAGACTGTAGCAAATAGTTCTGAGACATTTTAAATTAAAAAAAAACAAAAACAAAAACAAAAAAAACTAGTACTCAAAAACCTCAAACTGGAAACATAAAACCAAAGTGTAAGAGGTTTTAAAATTATTAAGTAGCATTTTAGTTCACATTTTCTGTAAAACTAAATTTAGGTTAGTCTATGTTTTTCTTATAGGTGATCAAATAATGGAAGGAACACTAGCCACTTAAGAGGCGGGTATGTATATTCCTTCTGAAAAACATAGTGAAAAGAAGTTAGGGCTCTTAGCCCTACCCTTAAAGAGATTAACTGGTCATGAAACTACAAGTTGTGATCTTTTGTTGCCTAATTATAAATCATTTTAATATGAATACTAGAAACCTGTGGAAATGGTTTCTCTATGAAAAGATCTATAGCCTATTTCATATGAAAAATATCAAACGCTATAAAATGTTTATAGGCAATTAAGTATCTAATGGTAGTTACATATTTTTTTAATGCAAGAGCTAATTGTTTATTCTTCTTTTTACCCAATTAAAATGATAGAGTTAATCAGATGACCCTAGATAAACATAAATCACATTTGTTATTTAGAGGCTTAGAAGAATATTTGGCACAGATTTTAAAACTTTTTCCTAGGAATAAATGCTTTTTGATTCTCACACTTGAAATTTCTCTACTGAAACTAAGGAGTCAGATGTTCAGTTTTTAAAGGATTAATTAATTATTCCTTTTAAAAGATTAATTAAAGTCAATGGCTAATACTACACAAGTCTTCCTATATAACCAGTATGATTCAAACTAAAAAAGAAAATTCTAGTTTTTCACAAATGGACCTATCTACGCTGATGATGATTATTTTTTAATGTTAATTGTAGAAAAGTAGTTTTAAACCTTCATAGTACATTAGAGGCACTGGAAGCACTTTTAAAAAACACGTTTCCATGCATGGGTATCACTCACACTCCACAGATTCAGATTTAATTGGCCTGGGGTGGGGCCAGACCTTTGATAGTGTGTAAAGTCCGGTGCTGATTCTAATGTGCTGGCAAAAAGGAGAAACACTGGTCTAGGGGGTTTGGACATTCGAGTTGATGGAGATTGTTAAAAAACAAAACAAAACAAAACAAAACAAAAAAAACAAGTGTTTTCCTTTTCTGGAGATTATATCCTCTTCTGTCACAGGATATGCTCGTGTCCTCTAATTGAACAGTATAGTTCATTGAAAAACCACCAAATAATACTGTACTTGGATATCTACCATATTGCAAAATTCTCTATTTCTCCCAGTGCTCTCACTGTTTTATACTCAAGCAATTAACTGTTCGTCAGCTGGACTAGCACAGCATCCCTAGTCTCAGAACTATTTTATTACTTCTGGTCTTGCTGTGTTCCTATCATGAACAGAATCACTGACCTTCTGAGATATAATGAGAAACACTAACAGAGCTAAACAGATGGTAATTATGGAGTAGCCATGACCCTCACCTGATTGGGGTTTTGGAACTCTATGGCAATTACTATATAAGGTGTAATAGTGCTACATAGTCTATTTAATGAAAAAAAGAACAAAACTCGTTGCAATTATCTTATCATAATGCAACCAAGTGCTTAAGAATGTTAAGTGATGCATTTTTAATGATCAGTTCAGAATGCCTACCCACTTATCTATTTACTAATAAAGTACTAATGCATTTAGCTTAAATACATGCATTGAATTTCATCTTACAGTTGGTCATAGTTCCTATAAATATATGAGAAATGTACAATAAATGACTAAAATAATTTCTATATTTAACCATAAGAATGACTCAAATTTCACTTATGCTTAAAAAGTAACAAAAATAAAAACATAAAATCACAATTACTAAAAAAAAAATCCTGTATTTTCTGAAGACAGATGCTCCTAGAAAGATTTTTTTTTTTTGTATTTGCAATGTCAGCTCTCTCAAGTAATCTAGAGACTGTGCCTTATATAATATCTATGGTGTTATGCAACATGTTCTGTTCTAAGTTAATCGCTCTGTATTGTCCCTAATGAACTATTTACATATGCCTGTGTGGACTTTAAATGTTTAGGGTGCCTAGAAAATTAAAAATCTATATATCATCTAACCTTATTAATCAATTCAATCCATTTTGGGTGGAAAAATAATCGGCCCAATGACTGTGAATATTACCTACACAGTCAGTAGGTGAAGATGATTTGAGTTAGTAGAAGTAAAGCACTTAGCACAGTTCCCAGCACATAACAAATCGTTGGTAAGGTTAGGTGGTATATCTTTGTCATCATCATTGCTGTTATCGATAATCGTTTAAAGGTCTTGAGTGTCCTTCACTTACGACGTCCCATACACACCCTCATTTTGGATTTCAAAATCATTTGAATCTACTTCAGATCCAAGATGTTGAACTCTGAAATCTGCCTTGCTAAACACAGCTTTCTATTTTTAACTCCCCTATTTCAAGCGTGTGACAGTCACTTTTTATCCTATAATGCTGCTTAGGGTTCCTCTGCTACTCCATCGCCTCACGTAATGACCCGCTTCAGGAATTGTTCCCTTCTCCTCCTCTCAATCTCTCTCCAGGATTTTGCCATGTCAGTGAAAAAATAGCTTAGCCTCCTAAATTCTCTATCCTTCCCTTATCTGACCCAATTCTCTTTTCGTAAATATCAGTGTCTGGGTAAATCTACCCTTGTATTATTCACTTCTGCATCTAGGAACCAGAGACTCACTGAAAGAGTAATAAGATGAGGTCAACTAGTTATACCACAAGTCCAACTTATTGACTCTCTGCTTAGTCTACAACACCTAACAATCCTTTCATCTGTGTTAATCTGTTCACCTGTCTCATTTTTTTTAACTGACTCTTATCTAAGTCTCAGACTCTCCTCAAAGCACTGACGATTAAGGCAATGCATAAATAAAAAATTTCTTCAGTCATGAAATCTACACTCCCCCAATCTCTACCTCAGTATGTGTATATATCTCCTCATGGCTTTTCCTTCCTCCTGCCTCAGAGGAAAGAGTATCTCCTTTCCTCATTTGAGCTAACGTTTACTCTTTTGCCCTCAGCTGGCTCTTTTCTGACTACACTTTCAGCTACTTGTTCATTGACTATTACATTTATGTTCTATGACTTTGATTTCTAGATCGTCCCCTTGAGCTTACAATGCTGTTCAATCAAGTTCTATACTAAACCAAAATGGCCCTTCACTCCATCCTGCTACTCACTGAAATGAGGGAACATATATTATCTATTCCCTTTACTGGTAACCTTATTGAAAGGATGCTTTCTACATACTCCCTCAATTCCTCTTGACCTTCTAACTAGAATCTGGATTCTGTTCCCATCTCTACAGCAACCTCTTTCTAAAAGGGTCCTGCTGATTCTGAACTTGAATAGGCTTTCCTTAAAATGTCTTCCTTTGGAAGCATTTGGACATAATTCAGCAACCTCCCTGAATGAAAGGCTTTTCATCTCTGACTCCAACAGCATTCTTCCAGAGAGGTTTTTCCTATTTATTTTATGAATCTTATTGATTTCCCTTCCTCTTCCTTTTCCTTGCTGGTTGTCTCCAGTTCTTAGTTGCATATCTATGACATGAGTGAAATATACAATCATAATAATGTTTTCTAGATGTGTGCACTTAATAATTGACTTCTTTTGTCCCAATATGTAGTCTCCCTAAGAGTCTCTCAATGGAACTTTCCTCTTCCTATATTCCTTACCTGCATAAGGTCATTTGTTTTATGCCTCTTATTGTCATCTTTGTGAGGCAGAGTCCTAATCTGTGTTTCCTTTTCTCGTTTCTTCTTTCTGCATTGTGGTTTTCTAATTCCTTTCTAGATGTTTTCTAAAAAAACCCCTTTGACTCTGCTCAGGGCGTATAAAATAGCACTGAGAATATGCTACCCATTCCATATCTGCTTCTCCTTCATTGTCTTCTATTTCCTTCCAGAATTTCAATACCGAGTGACTTTCTTTTCTGTGCCTCATTTAATCATTTCCCAAATACTTCTTTCCACCCCCCACCCCAGAAGTATTTTTGACTCTTGTCTCTGTTCTCTGCTATCATGGTCACTGTCCAAGTTTAGTCCTCTCATGTCTCTTTTGTTATCTTCTTGCTTCTAGAGTCTGTTGCTTCCAAAATTTATTCTACAAACCATAGCCAGATTAATTTCTCTAAATCAAAACGCCTCTCAAAGTGTCAACCAGATATTTAAATACCTATTTTAAGAAATAAATCCCAGCTCCTATTCTGGCATCAGTGATGTGGTGCCGTCCAAAGGATATCTCCATTCCTTTTAACTATTTCCCTGTATTCCAAGTGTTAAGCTGTTAATAATAAATGCTTCATACTTTCCCACCCTGGTATGTGTGTCCACAACCATTTGTCACTTAAAAAGGATTTTCCTTTTTAAACTCCTCTTGTATGTTCAAATGTGCTCTATTCTTTTTTTTTTTTT